GCTCCCCGACTGCCCGGGTCCCGCTCCCCGACTGCCCGGGTCCCGCTGCTCCCCGACTGCCCGGGTCCCGCTCCCCGACTGCCCGGGTCCCCCTGCTTCCCAACTGCCCGGGTCCCGCTCCCCGACTGCCCGGGTCCCACTGCTCCCTGACTGCCCGGGTCCCCCCGCTCCCCGACTGCCCGGGCCCCACTCACCGACTCCAGCTGCTTCCAGCAGGTCTCTATGTGCTGCTGGGCCTTCCGTCCGTCCTGAAAGTTCTGGAGGCGAGAAGTGCGCGGGGTCAGCACACCCCCTCCTCACAGGGACCCGAGGAAAACCCACCCGCGAGGTAATGCCGGGGTGCTGGGGCCCGCACTGCACCCGAGCAGTCGGAGAGTTAAGAATGAAGGGAAATGAACCCGAGAGCCGCCCCGGGGCCCTTCAGAACCTCGGGGGGATGCCGCAGTGATGGGTCCCGCGGCCCACGCCCCGAGAGGGACAGGGATGTTTTAAGACGAACCTCACTTAGGACTTTAACTGCTTCGGGACACAACTCAGGTGCCACCCAATCCACACGCTCGCGCTGGACAAGTCGATGGTTTTTACCAGTCACAGAATCACGCAGCCACCGCCACGGTCAACTTGAGACCATTTATATCACCCCNCTCCTGCCCCCACCTCCCCGGCCTGGGCACCCGCCCATCTGCGTCCCGTCTCTGCAGAGCTGCCTCTTCTAGACGTTTCGTAGAAACAGAATCTCATGCGCGGAGTCTTTCTGGCCCACGCGCCCATCACCCGTCACCCTCGGCCAGCAAACGGCGTTCCCAGGCCCGCCCCGCGTCCCCTGTCGGTACTCTGCCCTCCCAGTTGCTAGGCGGCATCCTGCTGGACGACACCACGTTGGTCCGTCCAGCACACGGCGGACTCCGGGGTGTTCCCCGTGCGGGGCTCCCACGAGTAACGCTGCTGGGCAAGCACGTGCGCAAAGGTTTGTGCGGACGGGTCAAGGTAAACTCGCCCCCTGCCCTCCGCAGAGGCCCGGAGGGGGCGTGTGCCTCGTGTGGACGCCAGGGGCCTGGACCAGGCTGAGCCTCAGGAACGTCGGGAGCGGGGCCGAGGAGAAAGGGCAGCCTTGCGGGCCGGGGCTCTGTCTGCGCGAGCCGGGGCGCGGACGCCGACTATGGAAGCGCGTGCGGCGGAGGAAGGCGCCCTCTCGCCCTGCAGGTGACAGAAACTTGGGCGGCGGGGTGCAGCGGAGGTGGCGGGAGAGGGCCCGACGCTGGGGTCCTCTGACCAGGAGCGCCGCGGGCACGTGCTGGCGTGTCAGACCCGACGCGGCCGCGACACGCTCAGAGGCGGGCCTGGCCTGCCCGGACCATGCGGGCGGGCTCCTCGGCCCCTGGTCCTGTCTGCGTTGCACGGAAAGGGCCTGGGTATCGGAGGGCGGGAGCTGATGTCCGCAGCACCCCCAGCGGAGATGCTCCCGGCTGGCCGGGCCCCTGGACGGGAGGTCGCAGCTCTGGTCAGGCAGCCGCCAGAGCTGATCTAGGAGGTCCCCGTTCGGCTTCCCAAGCCCTGCGACCTGGGGCCCCCAGAGCTCCCAACCGTGTCCCGCCCGGGCCCTCAGCATCCCCACGGCTTTCTCTGAACCCTCCCCACAGCGACCAGCGACCGAAACGCTCCTTTCAGTCAACCAGCNGGGGGGGGGGACGCAAAGGCGCCCACGAGACTTCCTCTCTCGGGGCCGGGGTCCTCTCATGAGTACGCTTCACCCCGGTGAGAAGCAGCCCAGTGCTCAGGAAACAGCAGCAAGGCTCAGCTCTGCGCTCCGCGTGCTCACAGCTGTACCCCGACTTTTGCCCTGCCCTGTGTGTAGGATACATAACTACTTTAAGAGAAGGTCCCGAAAGATAAAATGCCTTTTATTAACAACGGTTGGAGGTTTTGAAATACTTCCCTCGCCCCTTTAGATGTTTGTATTTTCAGATATTTCTAAGAAAAGACCTTAGAGATAATTTCCTTTTAAAAGCCTTTAAATGAGCAAAAATCACTCCAGTTTTACACTCAGGATGACAAAATATTTTATAAAGTACATACGTTTGTGCTAGATGTGTTCCTGGGACGTCTGTACCGATTTTACCTCATTTAATCCCAATTTTTAAATAAGCGTCGGGTCGATCTACTTTAATTGGGTAACATTTTGAACAGTTCGGGAAGCTGTCTGTTTTAGGAGAACTCGTGGTAATCTGCGGCCCCTCTACCCGCACGTTAGGGTGCCTTTTGGTAAACTAGACAGCCCCGCTCGAGATCAAAAGCAGCTACAGAGCCTGCATGTTTCACTGGACCAGGTCCTCCGGGGGGGGAGCAGGCTGCTACTCACGGAGGCTGTAAGCAAGGGGCCTGGCGGAGCTGGACAAATAGCTAGACGGCTAAAACACTGTTTTCCAACTCATCTCATCAGCGGGGAACCTGGCAGAAGGGAAACCGCCTCTGAACAGATGGGCTCGTCCCCAGAGGCCCAGAGAGGCCGAGGCCGCCCCGCGGCCCGGGGCAGTAACGGGGGGCCGCTGCTACCTGGCAGCCCGATCTTGTCGACAGCCTCCCGAGGACTTTCCTACAAGAAAACCCAGCTTCCAGGGAGAAAACCCAGGGAGACGCGGGGCGGGCTCTGTGACGTTCCTGCTTGCCGACAGGAGTGCGCTCGGAGAGGTTTTGGCAGGATGGCACCTGCCGGCCCCCAGCCACGGCCTGTTATCGCCCCCATGTCGCTCAGAAGGGAGGCCGGGGGAGCCCCCTCCTCTGCCTAAGGGAAGCCTCAGAGGCGGCCACACTCTCTCCAGGCTTCGAGCGCGAGGCTCTTTCTCTGAAAAGCAACCAGTGGCGGCCACAGTCTCCAGGTGCCGGCCCCTAGGCCACGCCCACGGTCTCCGTCGCCACGCGAGCATCCTGGTGACTCAACAAATCCTGACACTGATGGGTCCCCATGTTTCAAGCTTCGGGTCCCCACAACAGCTGACACAAATCGAAAACCATCCCTGGCTGAGAGGCCTTTTGCGGCCACATCGGAAAGGAGAACCTGGGGACCGACCCTCGGGGGGGGGCGCGGGGGACACTGAAAAGGGGAAGCGAGAGGAGGCCTCACTTTCACCTACCTTCTCAACGTCAGCTTTGGTGACGTTGATGTCCGCATCCATCTTCTCGAAGTGCTGCTGGGCCCGGTCGGCCTCCTTGCAGTCCCGCTCGAACCGGCGCTTGCTCTGGGGACAGAGCGGTGGTGGGAGAGTGATGGGCAATGAGGCCACGCGAGTCCTGCGCAGGGACTGACACCCAGGTCCCCCGGAGAGCACCCGCCCCTGAGCTGGTCCGCTGGGTCAGGCCTCAGGACGTGCTTTTACAATCCGCAGGCAGCCCTGGCCGGTGGCTCCGTGGTTAGCGCGTCGGCCCCCGAGACAAAGGGTCCGGGTTCGACTCCGGCCAAGGGCACGCACCTCGGTTGCAGGCTCGATCCTGACCTGCGTCAAGGCGCGTGCGGGAGGCAGCCAATCGATGTCTCTCTCACATCGATGTCTCTCTCCCCCCTTCCACGCTCTCTGAAAACTAATGGGAAAAAACCCTCGGTGAGGATTTAAAAAATAAATAAAATAAAAATGAAATCTGCACGTACGTTCACCCCCATGACCTGATCTCTGTGCTTTCCACGTGGCTTTTAGAAAAAGACTCTCTGTGAGCTCTTTGGGCTCAACAATGTGCTTCAGGTAAAGTTCCCAGAGACGCACCAGGTTCCAATGAGAGGAACCGCTTGGGGCGGTCTCTCTGGTGTTGTCGTGTGTACCGACCAATGCAGGCAGGAGTTCAGGCTGGGAAAGCAGCAGCCCTCCCTGGGCTGCCCGGGTCCCGCTCCCCGACTGCCCGGGTCCCGCTGCTCCCCGACTGCCCGGGTCCCGCTCCCCGACTGCCCGGGTCCCGCTGCTCCCCGACTGCCCGGGTCCCGCTCCCCGACTGCCCGGGTCCCGCTGCTCCCCGACTGCCCGGGTCCCGCTCCCCGACTGCCCGGGTCCCGCTGCTCCCCGACTGCCCGGGTCCCGCTCCCCGACTGCCCGGGTCCCGCTGCTCCCCGACTGCCCGGGTCCCGCTCCCCGACTGCCCGGGTCCCGCTGCTCCCCGACTGCCCGGGTCCCGCTCCCCGACTGCCCGGGTCCCGCTGCTCCCCGACTGCCCGGGTCCCGCTCCCCGACTGCCCGGGTCCCGCTGCTCCCCGACTGCCCGGGTCCCGCTCCCCGACTGCCCGGGTCCCGCTGCTCCCCGACTGCCCGGGTCCCACTCCCCGACTGCCCGGGTCCCGCTCCCCGACTGCCCGGGTCCCCCCGCTCCCCGACTGCCCGGGTCCCGCT